AGTTCTCCGTTTGTGGCCGTTTTTATTATCCCAAGAGTATCTACGTTTTAATGCCAGGAGATGACCATGCCTTTGCGAAAGGAATGAGTGTTTTAGGATGGGACTGCAGGCTTGAGAGCAAGGGGACTTCTTGGAGCAGGTGACACACAAGTCTACTACATAGTTAGCGGTCTTGTCTTCCGAGATGGGGCGTTGGTGTCCACCCCAGAGGGAAAGGATTGAGAAGAAGGATGTGTCATATGGGCCCTAGAGAGGGTACATGGCGTGCTCTCCCTTACTCCTTGCTCTGACATTCCAAGGACACACACAGCCATAGAGGACTCTGGGAAGTTTAACTCTATCCCTCATAACATGACTTGACAATGAGGTCGACTTAGTGTTTATTTCATCAGACAGACTCCCATTTCTTCCTCCCATGGTTTTCTTCCTGATCATTCAAGCTAGCCGTGCGTTGTTGGGTTGTCCCTTTGTGTACAAATTACTAAGATGAATGAAAACTACCTTTTAACTTAGATTCAATTAGCATGCTTTTTTTTTTAGAGACCCATTTCAACCAGTTATAATTTTGTTCCATCATGTGGTTTTTACTATAGAAACATCTCAGCCATTTTCCTAGGTATATCCCCATCCTCACCAAGTGGATGTTAGTATTATGTAGATATTTACAAACCGGTGTACATAACATGAGACAATATAAAAGCTAAATGTTTTGTACACCAGTTTATAAATATCTACATAATTATAGGAAAAGCAAGTCCATCTGAAATGTCATATGGTCCCAATTACGTGCTGTATAATGCGTTTTAAAGTGGGGTGATGATTTTTTAGCGATAGTGGCTCTCATGCAAAAAAAAAAAGTCACTCACTAAAATAACATGACTTCCCGATGATGAGAGAGATTGAATGGTGACCCTCAAAAATGATATCTTCATGTCTAACATCTAGAACCTGTACATATGATCTTATTTAGGAAAAAAAAAAAAAAAGAACTTTACAGATGTCATTGAGTTAAAGATCTCAAGGTGAGATGGACTTTGAATTCAGTGACAAGTTTTCAGAAGCGAAGGGATAAATAGACCCAAAGGCACAGGGGAGAAGAGCATGAGAACAGCAGCAACATCGGAGGGACCCATCTACAAGCCAAGGGACACCAAAGGTTGCCAGCAACCACCAGAAGCCAGGAGGGAAGTGTGAGACCCATGACTGTTCAGAGCCTCTAGAGAGAGCCAGTCCTGCTGACACCTTGATTTGTCTCGTCTGGCAGAAGAGAATAGCTTCTATTGTTCTAAACCTCCAGGTTTGTCGTAATGTGTCATAGCAACTCTAGGAAGCTAAGCTCATTGCACCAGCTGAGTGGTCGGCAAGCTCATTAGTCAACAGAGCCAACTATCAACAGTACAACGATTGAAATTTCTTTTGAGAGCCAAATTTTTTAAACTTAAACTTCTTCTAACGCCACTTCTTCAAAATAGACTCGCCCAGGCCGTGGTATTTTGTGGAAGAGCCACACTCAAGAGGCCAAAGAGCTGCATGTGGCTCACGAGCCGCAGTTTGCCAACCACGGCACCAGCTCATTAAAAATAGCTTCTACTGGTTGTAGCTGCCAAAGTTTACAAGACCTGGGTTTGAGAGACTTTCTTAAGGAACTAAGTTAAGGAAGGCTTAATACCAAAATATCAAGTGGCTGAATTTCTATGTTTACACCATAAATCATACCTCTGAGCAAGCAACACTCATCAAAGGACACATTAACACAGTTTTCAGAGCAGGAGATACATCCATTAGCATTTCATTCATTGGACAAATGTGCATGTGGACAAAGCGCCATCCGTGTGCATATGGTTAGAAAACCTTGACGGGCATGAAGTAGTAGGTGAATGGCATAGAGCAGTGGTTTTTCAACCTTTTTCATCTCATGACACAATTCACTAGTGACTAAAGTTTTGCAGCACACACATACATTTTTTGTTGATCTGACAAAAAAAAATAGGTATAATTTTGGTTCATTCACACCGGATGGCTATTGTGTTGGCTGCTGTCGTTTTTTATTTTTTGACAACCTAAGCGCACAGAGGTCAGTGTCCCTGACTAAATTGCCTGTTTTAACATTCTTGCAGCACACCACTTGAAAATCCCTGGCTTAGAGACTAAAATCAAAGGATCAAGATGAACAGGCATTTCTTATATTTTATAATTAGAGGAGTGTGTGGCATCAGACTTTGTTGTATTTTTTTTTTTTTTTTTTTTTTTTTTTTTTTTTTTTAGAATGCCTAGGGAGCCACTTATTCACTTCTTTACTCACTCAACTAACATCTGGGGTACATCTTGTTCATATGATAGTAAACTCTGAGACAGCAGTATTTAAGATACGTTTCTTGCCCTCGTATAGCATACTAATATATAACGAATACAAAATGCTGGTGATAGGTAAACAAATACATGAAATATACATGCTATGAAGGAAAGACACATGTTAACGTAACCTCCCGGTATGAAGTAGCCTCATCGGTCTTGTCCCTTTGTGTGCAAATTAAACTTGACCAGAATCGAACCTGGGACCCTTCAGTCTCTGGGACAGTGCTCTATCTACTGAGCCAAATTGGCTAGGGCTAAAGTATTTTTTTATAAGTTTATTTATTGACATGAAATGATACTGAAGATGTATTAAGGGTGGGGGGAGCAATTTGAAAATTAATTGTTATAATGTTGTTTAAAATATTTATACATTTTGGAGAAAGGAAGATAGAGACTGAGATAAGAAAAATGAAGTATATACAGATATGTTTTTAGTGATTGTCAGTGAGTAGATTGTGGCTACTTTTAAATATTTTTCTTATTTGTTCATGGTCTCTGACTTTCCTGTGGGGAACACACAAGATTTTATAGTAAAGTGTGTTTGCTTCATTTATTCTCAACCTAATTCACAAAACAAAATGAGTTGTATTCATAAGAGAAAGTAATTACAGTTTTGGTGAAGGGTGACGTGAATTTAGGTTTTGTGACAACTGAGGCATAAACAGTTAAGATGATTGCAGATGTGCGCTTTAGGGAAACAGTCTACAGCATTTTAAAGCATTAACTTAGGGAGCCCGGAACACCACCACCCAGGAAACAACCATTTGACGAGAAACCTGGCAGGTTTTGTAGACAATGGTCACTTTGTACATCCTGGAAGTCAGCTGTGGTAACTACCTCCCATCCTAACTCAGAAGGGACATTGTAAGAGGTCTATTTGTTTTATAAATTTCATTATAATTGAGTCTTCCTCTGACCCCCTGTGTGGGGTGGGCTGTGACTGCACAGAGGAATCGTATGGGGCCTAAGCGAGAAGGATGTGACAGGTCAGGGTGAAAGACTCAGCCTTAGGAAAGCACATGGTCATAGCTTCATTTTAGAAAACTTATGGAGACTTAGAGAGGAAGAACATGTGTGATTAGGTGATCAGTTTGTGAGTAAACCTGGCCTCGAAGAAAAGCAGAAGGGTTTTATCATGATGCCAGCCAAGTAGGATGTGACAAATGTTTATCTAGTACCTAAGGGACAGAATTACGGTAGGATGTCATACCTAAGGACGCCAAGAGTAAGGAAAAAGAGAACCTCAGATGACAGCCATAAGCTAGAAACCTCAGGCAGTAGTGAGCAGTGACACTGGGAATTTTATGTCCAGACCTGCAGACCAACTGAGGCCGTGACCATGGAGACAGTGAGCAATGAAGACTTTTATCACAGGCATGTTTGAGGTACCTGAGAGCTAGACTACCAAAGGGCTCATATCTGAGGAGAGGGAATGAATTGTGACCGATGGTCCCCATGGAATTCTATGTAGCTACAGTTAGATTGGAAAGGTCCGGAGTGAGGCTTGCCAGAAAAAATACAGGGTCCCCAGTTAAATTTGAATTTTTGATGAAGAACAAATACTTTTTTTTTTTTTTGACAAGTATATCCCAAATACTTGCTAAATCTGGCAACCCTACCCATAGCTCTGTACAATTTGTGAAAATAAAAGCTATGTATGCAGGCAAATCAACACAATGTATAAGAATATGAGAGGCCCAGTGCATGAAATTCTTGCACGGGTGGGGTCCCTAGCAGCTAGCTACTGGCTGCTGGCTGGTGCCTTCCTTCATTCCATGCCATCCCCCTGTTGGTCAGCACACATCATAGTGGGCAATTGAATTCCTGGTTCAGGGGACACTTTGCATATTAGGCATATATATATATATATATATATATATATATATATATATATATGCGCCCTGGCAGAGTTGGTTGGAGCGTCATCTGATATATCAAAGGGCGGTGGATTCAATTGCTGGTCTAGGCAAGTGCAAGAGGTGACCCATTGATGTGTCTGTCTTTGTTTCTCTTTCTCTTTCTCCCTCTCCCTTTAAAAAAACAATTTAAAAAACTTAAATAAATGAATACATTAATAGCTATTAATAGCTAGTGTTTGTGGGGTGGCTAATAGGGATTAAAGCAACAAAGAAGTCCTACATAAGTAAAAAAATAGAGGGCCTTGGTGATAGTGAGCTGAGTATGATTCCCTCAACCTCTCCCGGAATTTCCTCCTGAATCCTGATGACACTGCCTGGAGGATGAACAGAATATTCCATTCTACGAAACAATCCCAGTGGGATACCCTGGGGCTTCCAGCAAACTTAAGTGGCAGGAAAGTGAGCAGGAGAAGGAATGGGTAGGAGATAAGGGACTCTGGAGGGAAAGCACAGTTTTATAAACCTAATAAAAAAAATGACACTCATGAGCAAATCAGTTGGGAACATTGCTTCACCTAAGATTTAGTCTTTTTAATAGAGGAACATGTTGACAGCCTTATAAATATTCGTGAAAGAGTATCAGCAAGTATAAATCTTTAGCTGTGGCCATAGAAACAGCTAGAAGAAAACGCAACGTTTCCGTTTCCCCATGGGAAAAAATGACAGTTCTGTCCATGCCACTGAGTAACTCTGATTCTTAAAACCATTTTCTTTCTAATGTTACAGCGGATTACAAGGAGAGCTTTAATACGATCGGGAACATTGAAGAGATCGCGTACAATGCGGTTTCCTTCACCTGGGACGTGAATGAGGAGGCCAAGGTGAGTGAAAAAGTAGCACTGATTTCACTGTTCGGAACTTTTAAGTAATGTGTCCCTTCTCTGCAGGTGATTTGTTTGTTTGTTTGTTTGTTTGTTTGTTTTTTTCCAACTGGCTTTATGGGTAGGGAAAGATCTGTTCACTTGAGCCAGAACAAAAGAAAATGAACCCATTATCTTTCTCTAGAAGTCACACACATTCAATTCTGTGGAGCAAAATTGCCTTTTTTGGTCGGGGAAGGAGAAAAGGACAGGTACCCGTGCCTCTGTGGCCGCCTGTGAGATGCCCCAGACCCACGTCCCTCCAAAGCCTCCAGGCTCCATTTTAGCCCTTGGTTCTGGCAAAGAGCGGGCCACCAAACCTTTCCAACCTGCTCTATAGACTCTCCCGAGCCCCTTCTCCCTGCAGCCTTCTTCAGGAAGGAGGGGTTCCGAGATGATGCTTCGTAGGTGAGTGCCTGGGAATGTCTCCGCACCCCATGGTTCCTTCCACGTGGAACCTGCTTGAGGGAGGGAGCAGGAAGCAGGGCCACAGGCCTCTGAACGTCACTCCCCGAGGTCCCCCACCGCTGTGACCTTGAGCCATTCTTTCCTTGTTGACTGCTTAAGCTTTCTCGCTCTCTCTCTAGTGCCAACATAGCTTTAAAAAAGGGCAAACGTAAGACCTCCAGCAGGGTGTGCCCTGGGGTTCCGCCGTGGACGGGGTGAACCAGAGACTCACTGGCTCTCCCGTTTGCTTTCGGGCCACGTGTCTCCGAGTATGAAAACTCCAAACTGTTCTGCCTGTGCCCTTTCTGTGTTGTGTAGCTTCTGACTCTGCTCCTTCCTTTGCACTAAACGAGACGTTTCCCGGTGAAACCTAAGTTTGTTTTGCACTTCAGTTATGTACCATCTAGGAGGGCGTTACAAAACTCTGTCTTCAAGCTAATGAAAAGGTCAGTGTAAACAGACTCCCTTCAATGCTGTATTGTCTGCCAGCGGGGAAGGCCGGGCGAGAGAGGAAACTGGGTTTGAGCTTGCGGGCAGGGCTGAGGGGAGAAGATGAATTGTGCTCAGTGTCTCATGTCGCTCGCGTATAAAACAATGTCCATGAAACTGGCTTCCTGCCCAAGAAAGGCGACTTACCTGGGCAAGCAACAAGCGTGCCAGGGAGCTAGAAGGAAGTGGGCCTCACAGCCGGGGGCAAGCCAAGTCCCATGCAGAACTGTAGGGAAGCTTCTTCTAAGGCCCATTCCCCTCCATTTAAAGCTCCGCGTCCAGGGCCGGCCAGTGCAGCTCAGTGGCTGAGCGTTGACTTAAGAACCAGGAGGTCACAGTTTGATTCCTGGTCTCAGGGCATACGCCCGGGGTATGCGGGAGGCAGCGGATCAGTGATTCTCTCTCATTCCCGGTGTTTCTCCCTTTCTCCCCCTCTCCTTTCCTCTCTGAAACCAATGAAAGTATATTTTAAAAAAGTTTCTTGTTCAAGCCCCAGACTTTCCCTTCCTCCTCTTCTCTCAGAGGCTGGGGCACTGGGCTAGACAAAGAAAAGGCACAGCCGGGCTTGGTTTAGAATCCTTAGCAAGTCATCTTCCTGCTCTGGGCTTCACTCAGCTCCTTTAACCAAAACAAAAGAAAACAAAACAGACTTTTCCAGATGAGCTCTGCCGTGCCAAGCCTGGTGCGTGATGTGTGAAGACCCCGGGCTCTGGGAGAGGGCAGGGGAACCAGTAACCACACAGCACGTGTGAGGAGTGAGGGGCAGGCCCTTCGCGGTCACTGGGAGGACAGCGGGGTTCGATCCTTGTCCGTGTAAAGGAGCCGTAAGTGCGAGCTGTAATCGCAGCCCACACGTTCAATATCATGTAGTCTGCGCTAACAAGGGCCTTCATGGTTATGCGTCAGTAGGGACCCTTTAAAGAAAATGCCGAAACCGAAGGGACAGCGTGAGTGATGGAGGCCGAGGTGCCCCAGCGCGGTAGTGAATCTGGGAGGAGTTGACCCTTGTTTCAGCTAAGACAATTCCGTTCCGCACCCAGGGGCAGAAGCTCACTTCTCTTGTTCACACACGTCGGAGCGTGTGTGCTGTGCCAGCACCACAGTTTAACTCACAGATGCTTCTTTAACTCACAGAATGAGATTGCTTTTCTGTAAGACTTTGAAGAAGGCAGTGTCAGGAGAGACGTGACAAATACAACTGGAGCCACAGCAGCGTCCTTGGAGAAACCACACGTCTTCCCAAGATGGCTGTGTTCAAGGATAGTTTTCGTTTGGATATTGAAGTTCTGATGCATTTATTTAAAAAAAAAAAAACAAAAAAAACACACACATACACACACAAACACAGTCAGTATTTGGTTTTCTTACTACATGTGCATCCTCAAGAGCTAATGATAAGGTGACCGATTTTTCCAGAGCACGTTCCTGCGTTTTCCTTTTCTTGCTGCATTTTACTTTCGCCTCTCGTTTAGCACGAGCAGAAGAAAGGATGTGACATTCTAATCGTTTAGTTTAAGGAAAAAGTTTGACCTGGGAAGGTGTTAAAACTATTGATTAAAATGAGGTTTGGCACGAACTGATTTCTGGTATCAATGGCAGCATGAATCTGGCAGAGCCATCGCCGAGTTCTTCCACCCAGAACCGGTTCTGCTGGCCGTGCCACCGTCTTCCTGCCCAGTGACAGGGGCAGCAGCCATAGTCTCCAACAGGACATCTCCCCCCCCCCCTCGGTCTGGATGCTGCTGTAGTGTGAACAGGTGTCCATGGGTCCCTGGCAATGACTCAGGTGGCATCTAGGTGGTTAAGATTGGGAGTCCCAGTCCACCCTGTGACAGCTGGGAGATTGATGGGAGATGGGCAGCAGCAGGTGACAGAGAAAAAAAACACTGAAGTGGGGTCCAGGCACCGGATGCTCATCTTGGCACCAGAAGAGCCGGCTTTGTGACTTCTTTTTTTTAAAAAAAATATATATATTTTATAGATTTTTTTACAGAGAGGAAGGGAGAGGGATAGACAGAAACATCCATGAGAGAGAAACATCGATCAGCTGCCTTCTGCACACCGCCCACTGGGGATGTGCCCACAACCAAGGTATGTGCCCTTGACCAGAATTGAACCCAGGACCCTTCAGTCCGCAGACCGACGCTCTATCCACTGAGCCAAACTGGTTTGGGGCAGGCTTTGTGACTTCTCCCTGCTGAGCCTCGCTCTCCCCAGCTGGAAGGGGAACGGGGATGATCAAAGCAGATGATTAAGGTTCCATCCACCTGCTGCTAACAGGGGCACTGCTGGGATACCTCCTTTCACGTGGCTCCCGTTCGCAGGGTTAGTGCCCATTTCCTTTCTCCCCGTAGCCAAGCACTGGCGCCTGCAAAGCAGACTGGTGGGTCGCTCACCCGAGTGGAGCGATTCCCACGGAGGACGCTGCGGGGTTATTGGAGATCGGTGAGCTCAGGTTCCTGGCATCCAGTGCCGGCTTTCTCTCTACGCTGACATCATCCCCAGAGCGGGAGCCCCACCGGCTCCCCCTTCTCCCACGTCTCCGAGGAGGTTCTTGAAACAGGGCCCCTTCTCTTTGTCCGGTGCATTTTCTCTCTTCACAATGGATTCGGCGTAAGCCAGCCTCGGGGCTGCCCGGGCCTCTCTCCAGTGTGCGCAGAGCATTCCCAGAGCATGGAGATGTGAGTGTGTGCTCTGAGGAGCAAGCCGCCTTTCTGTGCCTTTTCACTGGGACGCCGTTCCATTCCCCCCTCTCTCTACACTCCGCCCCTCCCATGGTGTATGACTGCCCTAGAAGGAGAACCCCTTTCTCATCCCTCTGCACCAAGCCTTTTGGGATGTTCTGGAGTGCTCCTCTCCTCTACCAGCTCCACTAACTCATCAAGCAGACAAAGAAATCCACTGTCTCTAAGGTTTTTAAAAAATATATTTTATTGATTTTTTTTTTTTTTTACTGAGAGAAAGGGAGAGGGACAGAGAGTTAGAAACATTGATGAGAGAGAAACACTGATCAGCTGCCTCCTGCACACCCCCCACTGAAGATGTACCCGCAACCAAGGTACATGGAATCGAATCTGGGATCCTTCAGTCTGCAGGCTGACACTCTATTTATCGAGCCAAACCCGTTAGGGTGTCTCTAAGATTTTTTTAAGAAATCTATTATAATTCAGTAACATGAAATTTTTTCTCTCCTGGGTTATCCTTTGCTGCCTTCTGGCCTAGCACCTCTGCCTGCTGGGGGGAGCCATTACCCTCGGGGGTGAGACCCTCCTTCGCCCTCCGTGCTGAGTTGTAGGAGGGGCTTTGGATTGGATAGTCCAGCCCTCTGCTTTGCAAGATCAGTGGTAAAAACTCTCCTGCACTTGTGGTTTGGGAGAACTTTCAGACAGGAAGTAGTTGCAATTTTAGAGAGGGCCAAGGACACAGATAAGATATATATATTTTTTCATCCCTGTTAACAAATTTTTGTGTTAAGATTGGGGGTGGGCAAGACTGAGACCTGGATGGGATGGGATGGGATGGGATGGGATGGGATGGGATGGGATGGGATGGGATGGGGTGGGGTGGGGAGCAGAGAGGCCGAGAGATGTCGTGAATCATTTTCCTGTGCATCTCAGATTCTCATTCCACAAGTATCGACTTTCTACATACCAGGCACTTCGTTATGGGCAAGTGCAAAAGTGGGCTTTGAACCCACGTCCCTCTGAGTCCAGAGCCCATGCTCTTAACCATCCCAATAGAGGGTAATCTGCAATTTTTTTTTTAGACCCAAACATGCTATGATGTTCTTTCTCAAAGAAATCTATAGGGTATGATGTATATAGTTCCTGAAAGAAAGAAAACAAACCAACAGCCCATTTTCTTGAGCAAAGCAGTTCCATCAAATCATCCTGCTTTTGCCACCCTTCATCTGTCCCCTGTCCACTAAGACAGCCTCGCTGGTCCAATACCTCTAACATGGCACAGGCCTCTCCTTATCCATGTCTTTGGTTGCTCTATTACATTACCTGTTGATATCATGCTAG